ATGAACATGTGGCACCAACAACAGGAATGATGGCTTAGCTGAACATAAAATGGTAATTAATACGTAACATTGTAAATTAAAGGAAAGTAACATCTAGTTATTTCTTGAAATGATAGAACATGTGTGAATTGGCTCTCCACGCAAGCTAGAAAATAATCTTATAAATAAACATATTCTACTGCACTGAGTCTTACATTTGAGTGAGCTTTCTGTCCAGCAGAGGTGGCAAAAAAGTAGCCGTGTGCTGATATTTTAGTAGTCTGTATTATTTAAACACATTGAAAGGTTAGGGTAAGCAAATGTGTAAGCTGTTACTATATTCACCGTACGTGTGGTCTGAGTGCTCACAGTGTACATGGTGTTAGTGTGGATGTTAACAGGAAATCTGGTGTCTTGCCAGGTGGAGCTGCAGTCCTGATCTAGCAAGGCCTATGGGTAGCTTAGGTTTTGTTAAACCCAAGTTTTTCTTCAGAGCCCTCCCTGGCTCTCTGGTTCCCTAGCATGTGCCAGGGCAGGGACAGGGTGAAGATTTTAGTGTTGAAGGTGAAAGAGAAGATGAAACGTGGAAGAAGGCTGAAAGGCACTAAGTTTCAGCCTCTGGCTTCCCTCTGCTGCCTCCTCTCTCTCCAAAGAAAACACAGGTGTGCCTAAAAGGAAACAAAATTTAGGATCTAGAAAATCACAACCTGTGATATTTGCATCATTAAATTAAAGTAGTCAAATTAAAGTTTCAGAGCTTGATCAGAACCCCAGACTTGCTCTCCGTCTTTGTGTCTTGTCTCTTTATTCTTTCACCCCCCCTTCCCTAGGGTCTCATCGAATCCTCGTGGGCTGGGGCAGGTCCTAGCCTTCCCCCTCTCCCTAAGGAGTGGAACCACAGTCCCTAGAGATTCCCTGTCCCCAAGGACCGACTTGGAGGAAAGCCAGAGAGCGGGTGAAGAAGGGGAAGAAATAGATGATGTGCTTGAGCCCAACTGACTCAGAGGAGACCGAGGATGCCCCTGCGTGGGGCCTGATGATGCTCTGCCCTGTTATCATTATCAACTGTTAGATTTTAAGATTCTGGAAAAGCTTAAAGCTGCAGTGTTTAATTATGGCCCCACTGCCCCCTTTATGTTGGCACTCCTTGAATCCTCTATGGAAGGATGGCTCATGTCTAAAGAATTTTCTCAGCTCACTCAAGCCACACTCACTGGAGGTGACTTTGTATTATGGAAATCAGAAGTGGCAGAAATGGCAAAAGAAATCAAAACCTTGCAAATACCACAGGGGTCCTGTGTTTATACCGACACAACAGACCATTGCCCAATTGTTGCTCTTTCCCAAGGTCTCTACTACAAATCGCTACCATAAAGACACCAGGGTCCCAGGCCAGAGGGGGATAACAGAGGCCTTTTGAGCCCAAAAGATTACGTCCACTCACCCCATGCTTACCTTGACTTTAAATGGAAAAACATTAGACTCGGGCACTGATGCCACCATCATCTCTGACAGGTTTTGGCAGGCTGCCTGCCCGCTGACCAACTTGGCTACCTACTTACAGGGGATTGGGCATTCCAAAAACCCTCAAGTCAGCGCTCAGACCCTTAGGTGGATAGATCAAGAAGGAAATTCAGGTACCATAGTCTCCTACATGATTCCCAATTTACCAGATAATCTCTGGGGGAGAGATATTCTCTCCCAAATGAATGTCTTCATGTGCAGCCCCAACGAAGTGGTGACTAAACAAATGCTGGCCCAGGGATTCCTGCCAGGACAGGGATTAGGAAAACAAGCACAAGGCATAAAAAAACCTTTGACTGTGACACAGAGATCTGACCAGTAAGGCTTGGGATCCCAGCCTCAGCCTTTTCCCTAATGACCATGGTCATACCTGCTCCCCAGACTCATGCAGAGAAAAGTTCCTGGACAGACACTGCCCCTGTCTGAGTTGATCAATGGCCACTAACTCAAGAGAAACTGGCTGCTGCAAAACAGTTAGTGCAGGAACAGTTGGCAGCTGGTCACACTGAGCCATCTTCTTCCCCCTAGAACACTCTGATTTTTGTTATTAAGAAAAAGTCCAGCAAGTGGAGACTCTTACAAGATCTCCATGTGGTTAACAAAGTTATAATTCCTATGGGAGCCCTGCAGCCTGGTCTCCCATCTCCTGCCGCCATCCCAACAAACCTCTTTAAAATTATTATTGATTTAAAATATTGCTTTTCCAACATACCCCTTCATCCAGATGATTGTCATCATTTTGCATTTAGCCTTCCTTAAATTAATTTCCAGGGACCCATGGACTGCTTTCACTGGCGAGTCCTCCCTCAGGGCATGACAAATAGCCCTACTCTGGCCCAGAAATATATAGCTCATGTAATCCAACCTGTCAGAAGTGCTTGGCCACAAATATACATCCTTCACTACATGGATGATATTGTGCTTGCAGCCCCTAATAGACAACAGGCCCGCTCATGTTTTCAACAACTTCAAAAGGTACTAAGTTCACAGGGACTTAAAATTTCCCCTGAAAAGATTCAGATCAAAGATCCTTATTACTATATGGGGTATGAGCTAGAGTTGGGACAGGTCCATACCCCAAAGATTGAGCTTCAGCTTTCCTCCCTTAAGACTTTACATGATTTTCAACAGTTGCTCGGGAACCTCCATTTTGTTCACCCCTACCTAAAGATTCCTCCCAAGGTTCTAGTTCCCCTCAATGAACTCCTCTCAGGAGACTCCCATCCTTTGTCCCCTCGAGCCCTTACACCCCGAGCCATTTCAGCCCTGCAGCAGATAAGTCAAGCCATATCTTCCCAAACCTCATTTCAAATTCATTACGCTGCCCCACTTTATTTTATTGTTTGTGCTACAACATATAATCTGGTGGGAGTCTTTTGGCAGCAGCCCCAGACTCCCGCAAAATGGTATGTCCTTTGTTATGGGTATATCTCCCCTCAAGTCCAAGTAAGGTTTTGGCAACCTATTATTCCTTGTCTGCTGCCCTAATTGTCAAAGGAAGAAAAATGTCCAGACAATATTTTGGTGAGGATCCTGATATTATTATTATCCCTTATACCTCAGATCAAGTTGAATGGCTTTTTCAATCTAATGGTGGTTGGGCTGTAGCCTGCACCTCCTTTGTGGGCACCATAAACAATCATTATCCAAATGACCCCCTTAAACAATTTGTAAAGATACATTCCTTGACTTTCCCCCAAGGTCACCTCCAAGACTCCACTCCTTGAAGGCACCTTGGTGTTTACAGATGGTTCCTTGATGGCACCTTGGTTTTACAGACAAAGCTGTCTATGTTGTACAAGATCAGGTTATTTCAGTGCAGTCCCCATATTCCTCTGCCCAGCTAGTAAAAATTGTTTGTAGTCCTTCAGGTTTTCAAAACATTATCAATGACTCCATTTAATTTGTATACTAATAGTGCCTATGTGGCCCATTCTATTCCTATCTTAGAGACAGTCCCATATACTAAGCCTGCTTCTACTGCTTCCAAATTATTTGTAGAGATTCAATCCTTAACTCTCAAAAGGACAGTGACATTTTTTGTGGGACACTTGAGAGCCCATTCTGACCTGAGTGGTCCTCTGTGGCATGGAAATGTCCTGGCCAACGGAGCCACTCCTGCAGCATTTCCTGCCCTACTTGATTCCATAGACTTGGCTAAATGGGCTCATGCTTCGCATCATTTAAATGCCTCTACCTTGCACCAAATGTTTAAGATTTCTAGAGATCAAGCAAGAGAAATTGTTAAGTCCTGTGGTGGGTGTGCCACTCTGCTGCTGGTTCCACACCTCGGAATCAACCCTAGGGGACTCATCCCTAATGAATGATGGCAGATGGATGTTACCCTTCTTCCTTCTTTTGGAAAGTTAAAATATGTGCATGTCACAGTTGATCCCTAGAATGGATTTATAGACATGTCTCCCCTTTCTGGAGAGGCATTGCCTGATGTGATAACACATATCCTACAAGGGATGGTCAAAGAGAGCATGAGAAAGGTGAGAGAAGGCCTAGAGAAAAGAGGGGGGAGGGAGAGGGAGAGGGAGAGGGAGAGGGAGAGAAAGAAGAGAGCTGGTATAAAAATTGGTTTTCAACCTCTCTGTGGTTATCAACCCTATTTCCTTCCATTTTGAGACTGTTAGTTGGGTTGTTTTTGCTTATTTCTTTTGGTCCCTGGCCCTTTAACAGACTTACCAATTTTGTGAAACAACAGATAGATAATTTGGCAACAAAATCTATCTAGGTACATTATCATGTTAGCTATGGAGGATCAAGAGACTCAAGATGAGGTTGATACTCCACCCAGGGTGTTCCCAAAACCCATTTCCACCCAACCTAAAAAAGGGGACTCCCACTCCTGGACCAAGTAGAGAGGGACTACCCAGAACCCCCTTTGAGTGGTGATCTAAGTTCTTGCTTAGGCTGCGAGGCAAAGCACTGCAAGGGAATATAAAACAAAAACTAAAAATATCTTTCTGGGTTCCCTGAGGGACAAGCCTGACTGCATATGGGTTGATGTCCAAACTATCCCCTCTCTAGGAAAAAGACTTCAGGACGGGTATGGCTCCCATGTCACTGAACAACACCAGGAGGACTGGAGCCATTACAATTTCTCCTTTAATTACTGGAGGTCAGGCCTCTATCCCCGCCTTGGCAAAGATTAAAATCACCAGTCCTTCAATACAAAGAAAAAGGGGGAGATCTTGAAAGTGACCTTGCTTAAACATTAACTTCCTTGCCAGCCATAAATGCTTACTGGCACAAAGTCTGGGCCTCTGTGGAAAAGTACTAGCCCAGTTGAGAACAAATAGCTATAGATCTTGTGGACAGGTGCCTAGTCATTCATTCTGTTCTGTTCTTTCTGCTGAACTTTTTACCCAGTCAACATCTTGTTCTTGAGAACACCTGCACTCCTCAGAGACAAAGAGACCCTACTTTACCCCCCCCACACCCCACATCCTGCTTCTGTGAGTGCCGGGCGCTCAAGACCTCGCCCTAAGATGGCGCCGGCTGCCCGAGAGCCGTGGAGTAAACAAGCCCTTATTTGGCAAGTGAGGCTGCACCCTGAGTAAGGAAATCTGGCATGATCTGATGCGAGCCTATGGAGAGATGAGACGTGGCATGCACTGATTGGTCTCTACAGGGTTATAAGCCATGCTGCAGAAGGGAACAGGGTCACTTCTGCTAAGCTGAAATAGAAGCCTGAGTAAACCGCTTTGAGAAGGAGCCTGAGTGTTGTGTGTTTTGTTCCTGCGGGTCGGGAAAAGCGTGCGACATCTGGTGGCCTGTACGGGGAAAATCGCAGTAGAGCGACCCATGCAGAAGAGGTTCCAGAACTCTCAGCGGACAGGGCAACCGGTTAGTAAGCACCCAGTAAGTATTGGGCCCACATTAGGTCACGTTCCCAGAGACGATAGTTGCAAGCCGGGGTAAAGCGGAAGCGTGGAGTTTTAAAAGTGAAACTGAAATGGGGAATTCTTCATCTCGCTCAGTTAAGACAGCTCTAAAGGAATTGCTCAGTGCTAGGGGTTTGAAAATGAAAGATGCGACCCTTGAGGTTTTTCTAGAGGAAATAGATACTGTAGCCCCCTGGTTCGCAGTGTCGGTGCATATGACAGTCTCTAGCTGGGAGAAATTAGATAGAGATCTTTGCATGGGAGCAAGGTAGCCTGAAAGGGGGAGTAAGAGGAGTGTGGAAGCTAGTTCACAGATGTTTGGAGGACGAGAGATGCTGTCAGGCATTAGAAAAGACAACAGATGCCCTGGAGCAACTTAAGGAAGATAGATCAGAAAAGGCGGAAAGAGAAAAAGGGGGTTGTAAAACTAAGGCCCTCTATCCGAGCTTGTGGGATTTGGAGAGCTCGGAGGAGGAAAGTAGTTCTGAGGAGGAGGAGGAATTGGAAAAGCGAGAAGAAAATTTGGAGGAGCTACTAGCTAAGATGGAGTCTCTGGCCCTAGAGAGGAACAGGGAACCGAGGAAGAAGAAGAAGGTGGAAGTAGCCGCGCCTCAGCAGCCGAAGCCTTCCGCTCCACCATCTTGGCAGACGCCACCCTTGCCGCCTCCGCCCTATGTGGATACCTCTCCATTATCTTGTCAGCCAAACCTCCAATCCATGTGTCTGGACATTTGGAAGGAGCCCCGCATAGCTTTCCCTGTATTTCAGGATGCCAATAATCAGAGATATCATGAGCCACTGGATTTTAAGCAATTAAAGAGCCTTGCTGAGTCTGTAAAGACTTATGGTATTAATGCCTCCTTTACACAGGCTCAACTAGAACGTTTGGCCGCCCATGCTATGACTCCAGCTGATTGGATGAGTACAGTGAAGGCTTGCCTTACAGTGGGTCAGTACTTAGATTGGAAGGTTTTCTATCAAGAGTTTGCCCAGCAGCAGGCAGTGCAAAACCAAAGACAGGGGAATCAGGCCTGGGACTTAGACATGCTTATGGGACAAGGAAGATTTGCCACTAATCAGGTTGGATATTCTCTGCAAGTTTATGAGCAGATTAACAACATGGCAGTCAGAGCTTGGAAATCATTACCTAATAGAGGGGAGGTGAGAAGGCAACAAATGCTGTCGCCCATTGCCTGGAAGCATGGGCTGCTTGGGGAAAACCACAAGAATTAAAGACTGATAACGGTCCAGGCTACACTGCTGCATCTTTTCAGTCTTTCTGCAAACAGATGCAAGTGACCTTGAAACACGGTTTGCCTTATAACCCACAAGGTCAAGGGATAGTCGAAAGAGCACATCGTATGCTCAAGGAATGTCTTCTAAAACAAAAAGGGGGAATTGGACTTAGTCGTACCCCCAAAGAACACATTTCCCTTGCCTTATTCACTTTAAATTTTTTGCAATTGGATGCCAATGGCCACTCAGCGGTGGAGAGACACACAAATTGGCAGCAAACCTTCAGATGTCAGGTAAAATGGAAGGATATACTAACAGGAAGATGGAATGTCCCAGATCCTGTATTGGCCTGGGCAAGAGGGTCTGTTTGTGTCTTTCCACAGAATCAGCATGATCCAGTTTGGGTCCCAGAAAGGCTGGTACGAAAATGCAACATGGATGATCCTCCTGCTTCTTCCCCTGATGAAGAATCCTGTGGCAACGGAACATCGGTGGGGGATTCTGTCAGCGTTTCCAAAACCAATGCCAGTACGCCATGATGCCCAAGTTTTTCCTCGGTTTTTTAGTAGTAATCGTAGTCTTGAGTCACCCTTTTTGCCCTTAGATAAAGAAATTGCTAGTGTTAATAGTGAGTTTAAAATTCAGCTTTTAGGTAGCCTTTGTTTTGTTAAGATAGCTAATATTAGTGAGAATTTTGATTGAATTCTTTTGTATAATCAGACTGCCACTTGGTTTGATGTACACGAGGGACCTGTGACTGGTGTCCTCGTGATGAAAGGAGCATGGCTGGATGGTTGGTGGCCTGCCCATGATGGAGAGGATCTGTTTGGGAAATCTTGGGATGACCCTAAAAATTCTTCCAAGCCCCCCAGACAGCCTCGGTGGGCCCCCTTTTGTTTTGGCTATACAGGAACAGAAACATTGTTTCCCTGGACAGGTTGTCAGGATAGGGGGGTACAGTGGGCCAAAAAGGATTATTTTACCTTTTCCCCAGAGATAGGGACAAAATTTAATGTTACTTTTGCTGGTAGGAATTTTACCTGGCAGGATCCTAGCCTGGAAACACCTGCTAATCCTTTTAATGTTTGGCTGTTGCCCTTGTGGGGATCTCGGTGTGTTGCCTCTTTTGTCTCTGCCGTATGGTCTAAGCCCAAAAACGAGATCTGGCTCTAGTGGTGCAAGCTTTCTATGCCATTGAGGCTGGACCCTGCCCCCAAGCACGGCTTGCAGGCCTCCATGACTAGTCGCATGTTGGGCAAGGCACTGCACTGCACTGAGCTTGCTGACTTGCTTGTGTGCAGGGAAGTATACTTGTGTGCATATGGGTTTGCATCCCTAGACCCCGTCCTGGCAGAAAAGGATGCGGGATGGGTCTGCCATCGCCCTACGAGAGGATCCCTGGGAGAGGGTAGTACAATCTTCCCACGTTTCTCTCACCGGGCTCAAGTCAATGCTTCCTGTGATTTATGTAAAACAAAAAAGGGGAACTGTTGGGTGCTCAAGACCTTGCCCTAAGATGGCGCCAGCTGCCCGAGAGCCGTGGAGTAAACAAGCCCTTATTTGGCAAGTGAGGCTGCACCCTGAGTAAGGAAATCTGGCATGATCTGACTCGGGCCTATGGAGAGATGAGACGTGGCATGCACTGATTGGTCTCTACAGGGTTATAAGCCATGGTCCGGAAGGGAACAGGGTCACTTCTGCTAAGCTGAAATAGAAGCCTGAGTAAACCGCTTTGAGAAGGAGCCTGAGTGTTGTGTGTTTTGTTCCTGCGGGTTGGGAGAAGCATGCGACATGTGAGTATATAACCTGTGTGGGAACAATAAAAATTTGACAGCTTGATCAGACCTCTTGACTTGCTGTCCATTCTTCACGTCTCTTGTCCTCTCATTCTTGTCCAGGTGGTCCCCCAGTCCCCGTTCACTGTCCCGCAGGCCAGGACATCTAGATGTCGAGCTACTTCTGCTTCATGTACTGAAACATTTCCTCCAGTCTTTCCCAGTGCTGTTCATTAGAAGATAGTGTTCTTAGTGGAGGGTTGTACATGGACATGCACAGATGTTCATACAAGGTAAGCACATACAGAGGATCTCTAGAGATTGCTAGTCACCCAGACAAGCCAGAACCTTCTCTCCAAGCTTCTGAGGAAGTTAGAAACCCTGTTTTATGGTAGTGACTAAAGACAAAGAAACCAAATTCACCCCATCAGCCAATGTACACAGATGCCCCAAACCACCTACAGATTCCATGTTTGACTAAGCACAAAAACTCTTCCAGAAGTGGTTGAGAAATTTGCTATCCATCCTTTGGAAAGTAAAGTACAGAGTATGCTCTGCTTGGGTAGAAGTCTCAATTCTTCAGTTCTCTATCTCCTCCAATAAAATGTCCTTTCCATATCCTTCCCATACTCATGTACTCAGTTCCAGGATATAACCTCCAAGACGAGGGAACTCCCCAGCAACACTCACAGAAAACAGGGTTGACAAGGTGCACCTCTAGCCTCTGTCTGTGTGAACCAAGAAATAGGCAAAGGAAAGAAACCCATTTGTATTACAAGAAGTACGTAGGCCATCACTAACTCAAAGTTCTGAGAATAGCACGCCACCTATCATGAAGACATGGAGGTTTGTGACATATCATTCACCTGTCTCCCTTATTTAACTTCAAGTTGAGCAACAATATGATTGCCAATAAATCAGTTTCATACAAGAGGCCAAATTTCCAGAATCCTTGTGTATAGAAAGAGAAATGAACAATCACAGTACATGAGGTGGTGGCTGGGCGGGAGTGTGGATTACTAATGTGATCATTGAAAGCAGAGAATGATGGGTAAATGGTGCTAGAAATCAGCCTGACTCAGCTGCCTGGTTCTACATGCTGCGATGGGTCTGGTGTTCATTATAGATTCTTACAGTTTGGCTTTAAGTCTCCAAAGTGCTGGTGCAGCAGGACACATTCCCCTGAACTGTCTTATTCTCCTGTCTCATAATGTCCAAGTTATTCTTCAGCTGAGTCTCCTTTATTAGTTGCCATTTGTGGATGTTGCTAGAAATACACTCTGCATAGTAATCCCCTGCCAGACTCCTCCTAGTCCTTCTTCAAGTCTGCATTATCCCCTCCAAGTCTAAGAAACCCATGAAGACCTAGGAAAAAGCCCAGTACAGTGATGACAGTGCGCTCCCAAGACTATGAACAAACAATAATCAATTCAAGGAAGAGTTAGCAAATCCTGAAGTTCTCAACACCAAGAGGGATCCATGGCACTCCAATAGAAAGAGGAATTTCTACCTGTCCTTGGCTGTCCAATGTAATGGGGAAACATCAAATGGTATGGGGCAAATAACCTGAACAGGACATAACACACAAGGAAAGGACAAACACTCTACCTTTTCCTTAACAATTATCTCTGTAAAGCCCTGTGTAGGTCCCAGATGACTAGAGCCAGATACCAATCTCAAGGTGTGAATCACTTTTTTTTTTGAGGTTTCTCAGGCTGGCAGGACAATGCTGGGAGGAGTAACAGTCTCTTCCACACTTAACAAAATTTAATCACATTGCCCCAAGGCATGCTAATGGCTAAGAGGCAAAATGTACAGAACTAGCGCTGCAGATTCTCCAGTCCATAATCAATAAAAGGCACGAATGGCCATTTCACAAATGTTGCTGTCCCTGACAGGCACTTTCCAATAGAAGCCAGTATTCGTAAGCTCCCTGAGGTTCTCTGAGGCATCAGTGCTCTCATCCTATTAGCTTGGAGGTCTCCTATAAAAAAGGAGTTGACCTGTGAAGGACCTGGCCCCCCAGGAGGATAAAACCTCATGAACATAGATCATGTATACTCCATCTGTGTCCTTGATGCCTCCATATCAGTATATCTCATATTCCGTATCATATACTCTGAGAAATTATGGCGGTTATTAAACTTTTTATACTGTTCCAAGGCCAGCAGAGGCTATATTTACAGGTAGAGGGGACCTGTCTGCATTAGCTCCCTAGTAGGCCTTGAGGGGGGATGTATACTATCATGTTCTAAAGAGTCTAGGCCACAGGTCTTGGCCCAAGTCATTTCTATAGTTTTCACAACAACAATTCGATATTCATGAAAACAATTACTGCAGTGTGAGAGGTTGCACATAATTCTGAGGATGAGACCCAAGAGCAGAACAGTTTTAAAACTTGCCCAAATTATTTCAATGTGTTTCCAAGGTGACCACACATGCCAAGAGCAGTGCTGTGTAAATGGGGTTCCCAGACCTCAGCAGCAGCAGCACCTACAAATAGTGAGGCAGACATATCCTCAGGCCAAACCAGGGGCACTTGGACCCTGATTCTGGAGAGAAACACAACATGCAGTTATGTATATACAAACACAAGGGAGAGAAGCCAAGAAACGGAAGGAGAGAAAGACCATAGAGAGACACAGTAAAACAGAGACAGAGGAACACAGAAAAAGAACACAATGGTATATAGAAAAAAATACAACGAGCAATATTAATGCAAAGTATAGGATATTAGCAACAGGAGGATCAGCAATGACCTGAGCCATTCCAGTTAAGCATTGAGATGGAAAAATTGGGATCAGGCCCCTTATCTATTACCATGACCTTCCCACACGAAATCACCTGGCAGGGAAGTATGAAGCATCACAACCAATTCACAACAGTGTCACACAATTCACTTCTTGTCAGTGTCTTTCCAAATACATTTTGGGAATGTCCTTTCCACTGCCTTAATCCCTGATTTCTGTTACTCAGACTACTGGCTATCATTTTCATTGGAGAAACCAAAAGATATGGGGGATTACATTTCCTGCCAAAGCTTCTGGTTCTTCCTCCTGTCTGAGAAGCATTTAGGAACATGAGATTGTGCACAGGGACACTCTGAAGGTACAGCCCAAGGCCTTAAAAGGAAAGGGTGGTGCTGACATAGCAGACCTAACATAGAAATAATGGTGTCTGAAGCAGTGCATATATATTGTCCAAGATTCCTTTTGTGATCAGGATCAGATCTCAAAGATCATTTCTTTCACTGGTCATCAGCTACTACTGTATGGTCAGCCTCTACATTTCATCCTTTAATTGTGTTAACATTCTGTCTAAGCTCCACCCCACAGTTACCTGGCAACAGCTAGGTAGGCCTGGCCCACTATAAAAGGGGCTTTTAGCCTCCTCCCCCCTCTCTCTTGTTCCCTCGTTCCTCTCTTGCTCTTGCCTTCCTTCCCCCACTCTCTCCCCATTTCCTTTCCCCATCTCTCTCCACACATTCATGACCAGCCTCTACTCCTCTACTTCTTTACCCGCCCCGTCTGCCTCTCTCTGCCTCTACTACCCTCTTGACTCCCGCCCCCATGCCCTGAATAAACTCTATTCTATACTATACCGTCTGTATTAAGTTTACCCCACAAGGTCTCAGAAGATTTGAATATAGCTTCAAGAGTTTGCCTAGATTGTGATGAAGACTTGTCCAGTAAATAATCTCTTCTCTCCCAAGGAGCTTTTGGTTCCAGTGTTATTATGATGCAATGCATTTATTTTTAAAAGAAAGACTGTTTTATATATTCAGATAAATGAATTGATATATTTTTGAGTTAAAATGTGAGATAAATATATATCTGCCCCATTTAGAAGGGGGATAGGGTGAAATGTATGTGTGCCTTTGTTTCCAGATCTAAATGTATCTAGAAGAGTATGGCACCAAAAGAAGAAATGGGGACAACTTCCACCCTGTGCCCTTTCATAGCTTCTCAAATTACATGATTTTATTTGTGTCAGACTCAGAGCCCTCCCCTTCCCGACACCCCAAAATCTGTGCTGATGACATTTTCCTAAATAGAACTTTGGCCAGGTAAACACGAGAGTTGTTTGGTCCTCAATAAATCCTGTTTTGAGCCCACCGAGTGATCTAGTTAGATAGTTTTTCTGCTCCATTGGTTATAATTCCTGTTTTGACAAGGAAAAGAAAATTGGGGAGGGGGATCTACCTAGGCTCTAAAAATGCTTTCTCTTTTCATGGCTTGCTTTTGTTTTTTTCTCCTAAAATATTTGGCTGGCTTACAACTGCTCTCAGGCTAAAGTCCAATTCTTTATTTTCAATGTAATGGTTTTGTTGTTTGTCTTGTTTCTTATAATTTGGTCTCATGGTTTCCTGCCTGGAGTTTTCTATTCTACTCAAGTGCTCTCTTGTGATCACCGCTCTTCTCTCTTTCCTTCTCCCTCCCCTCTCCCCTTCTTCCTCTCTCCTCCTCTTTATGTTCTTCTAACCCCCCAATATGTATACTCTAGCGTTTCTGTTTTCCAAGCTTTCATAAAAGATCAATTAGGAACCTGGGGGGATAGAGGGAGTTGGGGCATCGCTCAGTGGTGAATTACTTAGCATTGGGAAAAAATCAGCTGTCAGATTGAATCATGTCTATGAAGTTTCACTCAACTCCCAGTCTTCTATGGCTCTCCTTTTAGGTTCCTACAATAATGCATAGTCTGATATACACCCAGGGCCTATTTGCTTTAGTCTTATTAGGAGTATGTATACTCTGTCCTCCCAAACAAACTGCCAAACTTGTTTTCAACGATAGCTGGGTATGACAGTTTTCTGAAACTCCTTTTTCTTGATGTAGTCATATGTTTGGTTGATGCCCCAGTAATGCCTTGTTTTTTTGAGACAGGGTCTCATGTAGCCCAGGCTAGCCTTGAACTTGCTGTGTAGTATAGACCAGGATGAACTTGACTTGTGAGTGCTGGATTGCAGGT